CTCAAACCTGTGGTGTTTTGTATGGTTGAGTGCAGTCAAAACTGTTGTGTCGCAGTTGTTGCTGTTGTCAGTGTAACACTGAAATTACCTGAAATAAATTTTGTTGTTATTTGGAATGGAAGGTGGAAAGAAGTCCCAGTTTAGGGGGATGATCTGTGGAGTAAATTAATACAGCAGAAAATATAGATATAATTCCCAAATGTAGACGTTCAAAACTCAGATAACTGTCAAACAACACATTATATGTCACGTTACCACCTATCCTGCTTGAACAAGTACTGCAGCGTTCAAAACTTTAATTTGCGTAAAATGTTTCAAGCACTTCAAGATCTGATATCTTTAGCCCTGCGGTAGACTCTCCAGGGTGTACTCCGCCTCTCGCCCTTTGGTAGCTGGGATATGCTCCAGCTCACCCACAACCCTGATAAAGATGGGTGGATGTAGATCTGTTATCTCCGTGTTGGTGTAGTTTCTACATCATCATAACAGTGTTGGTCCAAGATCAACATTGCAGCTGACCAATCTCGTTGTCTAAGCATTCACTTCGCATTAAGTAACTAAGTAAGTAAATTTTTATTTATATAGCACATTTCTAGATAAAAGATCACAAAGTGCTTCACAAGGTATAAAACAAAAACAGACAAAGGTTAACAAAATGCAATTCTAAAAAGATGTGTTTTTAGTTGTTTTTTAAAAGTGATCACTGAGTCCACAGATCTTAAGTTCTGAGGAAGAGAGTTCCACAGTCTGGCAGTGGCAAAAGCTCTGTCTCCCTTGGTTTTGAGCCGTATACTGAATAACAAGAAGGCCCTGATCACATGACCTCAGGGACCTATTAGGGACATAGGGCTGTAAAAGTTCAATGATGTAGGCTGGTGCTTGTCCTTGAAGAGCTTTAAATGTAAGAACCAGTAGCTTAAAATGGTCTCTGAATTCAACGGGGAGCCAGTGCAGCTGTATAAGCAACAGTGTTACATGAGAGTACTTAGATGTTTTTGTCAGAAGCCTTGCTGCAGCATTTTGGACAATCTGCAGACGCTCCAGGGAGTTTTTGTTTAGACATGTAAACAGTGAATTACAGTGGTCCAATCGCATGAATAACGATCTCCAGTTGAGTATGAGATACTAAAGGGCTCAATTTATAAATGTTTCTTAAATGATAGAAGCAGGATCGAACCAGAGATTTGATGTGGACATCCAGGGTAAGAGCAGAATCAAAGGTTACCCCGAGGTTCCTGATAGACGATTTCACAAATGTTGAAAGAGGACCAAGAGCATTCATTATGTTAGGTACATGTCTGTCTGGAGCACATACAAGGACTTCAGTCTTTTCTTCATTAAGTTGGAGGAAGTTGTCAGCCATCCATCTGTGGAGGAAATTATGATGCGCGAGATAATTGTCCGGTGAACAAGAGACAAAGGCTTGTGAAAAGACATGTTAAAAAGAATAAAGTGACTATCAGAGATAAAAATGTCTTCAGAACAAATAGAATCAATATTCAAACCCAAAGTAAAAACAAGGTCCAGTGTGTGTCCTTTGTTATGTGTGGGGCCGGACACATGCTGGGTAAAATGAAAAGAATCCATGATGTTGATAAAACCTCTGACAAAGCGGTCGGAGTCATCATCAACATGCATGTTAAAATCCCCAACTAAAAGCAGTCTGGACAACCTCATAATAGAGGACAGGAAGTCGCTGAACTCCGATAAAAACAAGCTATTTGGGCCAGGTGGATGATACACCACAGCACAATAAAAAGGATCCTTACTTCCAATTATAAACAGCTGTAGTTCAAACGAAAGAAAGAAATTACCAACATGACTAACTCAATTTGTCCATGTGCAAAAGTAACTTGAATAATATATCTATTATAATGTCTAAATTAACAAAGAAAGCACTTGAAATGATTACTATTTGTCCCAGAGCTGAGTTTTATAATAACAAAGGTTTTTTTTTTCTTCTTATTTCTCCACACTCCAAAGCCATGACAGCACAACAACATGATTGATCAGTTGCAATTTTGACCCTAGAACAGCACAGTTATACTGCTGCTGGATATCAGATACACCGTGTTTCAGTGAAACATGTTACTGCTGTGTTACTGCTCTCATTAAGCCAGGTTTCAGCAGAAAGCAAAGAATCCATTTTATTGCAGGTAATTGTGTTGTTAAAATAAAGCTGATGACGTGGTAACCATCATTTGTCATGCAGCTTTTTCCGGAAAGTCAAACAGTATTTACTGACTGCATAAAAATCATAGAAGAAGGAAGAAAGATGACGAGCCTGTTAATTATTCATTCGTAGCACGTCACTCATGTGTCCTTTGTAGGGAGTGGGGCCTGTTTGGGTCAAACATTATCAAAGTCACCGGTGCTGCTTGTGCGCGTGATCTGAGACGACTGCATGGTTTAAGGATCTGTGACTGTAGCCCAGTAGGTTTTTGTGTTTAGACTTTTGAGAAAAGGGCGAAGGTTTAAGAGACATGTTGATGGGTTTAGATTTTATTATTGTCATTTGTATTGGGAAATATTTAACCATATATGCTTAGAGGTGCATAATCGAGTGTGTAGTGATAGGATGTGTGATCTTTAGTAGTCTGCAAAGACTTTGTGTGCATTCCAGAGTGCTCTGGCATTCACACCCACACCCTGGGAGCATGGGAGAGGTCGTACCTTATTTTATTGTTTTATGGTAGGATAAACGTAGCTATGTCAGTTTTAGTCTAAGTGCCTTTTGTTTAGATGAACTGCTGGACTTCCAGACCAGCAGGTTTAGGGAAGTCATTTATGGGGTCACACTCTGACCCCACACACACACACACACACACACACACACAGACAAGGTATTCTTTGTCCACATGTATAGAGATTGACAGACCACATGACTTTTGCGCATTGCATGCCGGGAACTCGTGGCAAAACAATCCAAGTACCTGCATCAAATGCAAGCATTCATTCTCCAGTTCCAATACCTTCTTGCTTTTTCTTTGCCCCCCCAAAAAGGTATGTACAAAACGAAGGAGAACAATGCCGGTCCGTACAAAGACAGACTTGATGAAAAGTCAAAGAAAGGATACGAGGAAAAAATCAAAGGAGTGAAAGGGTCAGACCCTTACGAGCACACAGAGTGGACAAAAGACGTTAGCGTATTGCCCAACTTTCACCACGCTCATATTTATAATTATACAGTTCTTGGAGTGAGTGCATACACTCATGAAGTTTAGTAACTTCAGGTCACTGCAACAAGCCCAGGTACAGTTTACCGACGGATGGGTGCAGGACCTTGAAATGCACCGTGAACAAAGGTAAGTTTACCAGTCTCACAAATCGTCTTCATAAATACACATTCGTTAACAGTTTATTAATAGGATCTTTGAGCTCAACGGTAATTAATTAGTAGTGGAAATAATTTCTGATACGCGTTACAGAAATGTAGCAGTGACAATAATATTGTATGCAGTAATTGTACTGGGCAATTAGTGATACAAAACAACTGTTTTATCCTGTGAATAAAAGTATATGTTTTTGTCAATGTAACATGGTAATAACAGAAGCGAAACGCAATATTGTGTCAGGACAATTCACTATTTATTGTCATGGTTCGGATTTTGAGGAAGAGACATACGACTGGTATACAGCTGGGTCAACACAGATCATTTTATTAAAACACACAGTAGAGTGTGGGAAGAGCCGAACTTCCTCGAGCAGACCGCTCCCCATCCTTATATAATCCCGCTGACGTCACAGTTAGATCTTACTGGAAATGATAACAGTTCCTCACACTCAAAAAGTTCTCCTTATATGCACAATAAACAAAGGAGCATAGCGCGACAATTTCTGTTCAGCGCCAGACTTGCTTGTAACCTATATCACCAGTTATGTTATGAAAACTGACGTATTAACTACAACAGAAGACTGACCTTTGTGGGAATGCTTGGAGCAGACTAACCTGTGAGCTGGAGTGTTCTGGGACGTTATATTTGGTCTTTGAATGGCTGCAATTCAGGCCATCCGTCGCCTGTTTGTTACTTTGGAAACATGGCTCGAACAATTTCTCTTCAACGACGTAATCCGATAACAACTGATCTCTTTACCCGTCGGCTTCCCGTGGCTGTCATGCAACCGGCTATTGCAGTTAATAATACAACAGCTTCTTGACATTTTTTGTGTTTCTTTTTATCGCTGTATAACTGATTTCAATTGAAAGCCTGCGTGCGCTAGTACCTCTTGCCACGAGTTCCCAGAATCCTTTGCGGTTTTGCCCCTGAGTGACGTCACATTTTCAATCTCTATACCTATATGAAACATCATATGTTAATGACCCTATGCATATTTATGTAACCACAGTAAAAGGAGTGCTATGGGGAACCTGGCTGAGAGTCTGACGGAGGTCAAGTGGGTGGAACGACACTTGGCTCCAGGCAGGTCTCCCTCATGCAGGAGTAACACAAAGAACTTCGCCTACTTGTGTCTTGCTTTCTGCTGTGTAGTAAATTGTCTTGAACGTTCCAGCGAATAGGTTTATGCTATAAACTTATCACATCTCCACAGTTGAAAAAAGTACAACAGTGCCTTGTGTAGTAGGTGAATGTGAATACTTTTTATTTTAGCACAGGTGAAACTCAACTTGGACAAAGTTATTATAAGTGTGAGTATGTTAAATGATACAGATTTTATCGACCTGGGTAAAATCTTTCCTGATGATATATGCAGTATGCTGACAAAACTCAAAACATCTGATTTAAACATATAATCTAAAGCTATAAAAACTTGCTTAGATTATATGAAACAACTATCTATTGCAGAGCAGTGAACCAAACGAGCATCAGCACTGAGCTATGAAATGCTATAAAAAAGAATGCAGATCACATGCCAGGCTACATTTTCAGATTTCACTTCATGCTGCAGAAACAGAAGTAATATTTTCATATGTGTTTCATCGCTGTAAAACATATACATTTTTTTAAATTATCTTTGTCAGTTTCACTCAACCCACAGCAAAAATGGTTGCATCTTATCCACGGATGACCTGGGTTGTGACCACCGTCGAGGCAGCAGGGTATTGGTTTTCCCTGATCTTCAGCTCACGATGCATCTGGCACCAGACACAGTGATAACACCAAAATATTTTGCAGCAGTCATCACAGCACGAGCCCTGCAGGACAGGAAAATTGAAGAGGAAGACGAGAACTTTGTGATATATTTTGAATTTCTAACAATATCCTGTTTAGTCAGCTGACGTCTGAATGTCATGCTTAGGAATGAGAATTGAGAAATGGTGTTCAGTCATTTCAGCATACAAATCAGAGTAACATACAGCATATAGTTCAGTATACAGATGAAATTAAATGATGTTTATTTTCCATCTCTCCATTTTCTTATCCAGGGCTAAGTTGTGGGGGAGCAGCCTAACAAGAGAAGCCCAGACCTCCCTCCCCCCAGCCACTTCTTCAAGCTTGTCTGGGGGAACGCCAAGGCGTTCCCAAGCCAGCCGAAAGATATTATCTCCCCAGCATGTCCTGAGTCTGCCCTCGGTCCTCCTCCCTGTGGGATGTACCCGGAACACCTCACCCAGGAGACGCCCAGGAGGCACCCTTGTGCGATGCCTGAACCACCTCAAATGTTCCTTTCAGTGTGGAGGAGCAGCAATTCTACTTTGAGCTCTTCCCAGATGACCGAACTCCTCAACCTATCTCAAAAGGAGAGGCCAGTCACCCTCCAAAGAAAATTCATTTCCACTGCTTCTTTTGCTCACTACCCACAGCTCGAAAATAACAGGCAGGTTTACAGCATGAATTTGGACATTACTTTTATTTTTATTGCATAAAAAGACGAGAGCATGATGGTAAAGTGGCATCCAGGACAGAAATAACTGTATTATGCTGCTAATACAACTTCAGCTCTTTGCAAGCACCTGCACAGACAGCATGCTAACGCTAAGCTAGCCAAGAACCCAGAGTGATGCTGAAGCTGAATGAATGCTGAGCCCAGTCCAGCACCGTGGTCAAGTGAGCTGTCTTTTGTGAGCTGTGGTGAAGCAAGCTGCTGCTGAACTTCATCAGGTAACAAACAGATGAGCGGTCGGGCTCCACCCCAAGTTTCTATTTAGATTCATGCTGTATGTTTGATTTTTGATGTATTTTAT